TGTTGTCTCAAGAGAAGGGGCTGGGTTTGCTGACCTAGGGCAGCGTGACCTGCTATGGAACAACCCCCTCATCCACTGAGTTCCACCTAGGAAAGCCCAGTGTAGCACAGAATTGCTGGGCTGGGCACATGAAGCAATCGGTGCCTCAGGAGTCACTCCCTGCTGCTGAGCAGGAGTCAAATGCTGCCACTGCCACTCTGCTTTCACTGCTTTTGTGCCCTTGGGAAAAGACACTATAGAAAAAGCAAGGAACAAGCCCCAGCTCTACAAACTGTTCTGCATCTGCCTCCTAGATTCCAAATGGTCTCCTGGTTTTCTTCCTGCCTCCAGGGAAAAGAGTCCTGATAGTCTATGCACATCAAGAGCCCAAGTCCTTCAATGGATCTTTGCTGAAGATTGCTGTGGAAGAACTGACCAAGCAGGGCTGCAGCGTCACCGTGTCGGATTTATACGCCATGCAGTTTGAGCCCAGAGCAACAAGAAATGACATTGTTGGTGAGAACAGCCAAAAGACACCTTTTTCAAAAACCAGGGACTTGTAAGGCCACCCCCCCACCAGATATCAGAAGGTTGAAAAGAGTCTCCCTGAAATCTTCCCCTTGCTGAACAAGTCAGCAACTCTCAGTCTGTCTTGGTAGGAGAGGTGTTCCAGCCCTCAGATCATGAAGAGATTAATAAGAAACTTATTTCATTAATAAGAAACCTATTTGTGAACAGACATCTGCATTTCTTAAAGTGCACTCCTGAACATGAACTTTGCATCACAGTGAGATTACTGGCAGGAAAAAACACATTAGCACGTGTCCATAATCAGCCTCTAAAGTCCATTCCTCATGGGGAGGAAATGCCTTCAGATCCCATTCTGGGATTTGCTACAGTTTAGTTCCCAAGGCTACAACTGCCCCTGTCTTCTGCCAGAGACCCGTGATCTGGTAGTGGAATCAGTAGAGCTGGCCAGTACTGGTTCCCCATCCCTTGGTGAATTTCCCAGTTACAGAGGCTGCAGAGCAGCTCCATCGTGTTTACAAGCGCATGATGGTCTCAGTAAACCCGAAAGTGGAGGCAGAACAATTAACAGCTTTCTCTTAAATCACCCACCTGCATCCCCAGAGTCCCAAGGCAAGCTGAGGTGCTCATACTGCACTTGCTGTGCTGCCACAGGAAGGTGAAGCTTTAGAACTTTGAGATTCTACATTCCTCTCCATTTTAAAATTGGAGAATTTTAAAATCAGCTGTGATGATGCTGAATATTCAACAAAGACGAGAAAATAGGAAGAATGGAACACGGTAACTCAGTTTAGAACTGGGAATGGCAACCTGCATCCACTCTTATCTGGTGCTGATACTGGACACGGGGCAAGGAATGACTGTTCACTTCTACCCACAGGTCGCCTGCACAACTCAGAAGCCTTCAATTATGGTGTGGAAACCTGGGAAGCTTACAAGAGAGGAGGTTTGTCCAAAGACCTGGTTGAAGAGCAGAAGAAGGTGCAGGAAGCAGACTTGCTGATTTTTCAGGTCATTATTTTAAACAGAATTCAGTTGTGATAAAGTTCACTTTATCTCTAGGTAGTGGTACAGGAAATACTACAGGATTAATCAGCAGCACAATTACCTGCGTCATTATTACAGCAAATCCAGAAACTGAG